ACGAAACGATCAGATATAAGTTTTTGGGAAGCTCGTACTCCTGGGTGACTTAAACCGTGAATCTTTTGGAATACCTCTTGCCTTTGATTCTTGCAAACATATGGACGTGACTTATGTTTAGTTATATCACAATAAATGCTTTTGTTTGAATCTGGAATATTAATTAATCTAAGCTTTAGTTGAGTAGATTTTTAATAATTTTTTTAATTGAAAGAAATTCTATTCTTTCAATTCTTCATCGTTATTTTGATTATCTGCCATACTCTCGTAGTTAATTAACTCGATCTCACTTGATCTGGACAAATAATCTGCTACTACGTTCTCAGAACCGGGCACATGTCTTATATCTGTTGTAAATTGAGATATAAAATCTAGATGACGGATTTGTCGTGAGCTTGCACGTTCGGGTTTCTGCTTAAAAGCGAATATAAGAGGTTTGTGATCCGTATATGTATTGCGAAATTTCGTCCTTTTAACATGAATCTAAAATGTTTGACACCTGCGTACGTTGCTAATAGTTCTCTATCATATGTGCTATAATTTTGTCAGGAGTCCATTTAATTTGTCTTTTATCCTTCTTTTTACATCCTTTTAGAAATTAATTCAATTTAATTTGGTGGTGTGCTGCATGTGGCATAAATCTTCGATAGTAATTGGTTGTTGCAAGAAACCGACGAAGTTGTTCCAACGTATTTGGTTTTGGAGTCTCTAGAATTGCTTTAATTTGTGATTGCATGGGTTTAATACCATCTTCTGAAATGTGATATCCCAAAAAATCTAATTCGGATACTCCGAATAAATATTTGCTAGGGTTAATGATTACTCCATTATTATTTAAACGTCGGAAAAGTATATCTAAATGCTTTAAGTGCTCTTCTTTTGAACTTGACGCTACTAGAATATCATCAATGTATACGTATACGAATTTTAAATCATGACAAATATTGTCCATCCACCTTTGGAAGCTCTGAGCAGAATTACGTAAACCGAATGGCATTTTAAGCTATTCAAATAGTCCGAAAGGTGTCACAATTGCAGTTTTTTCTATATCAGCGGGATCGGTATCGGTCTGGTATAGTTATGCGATTTAAAGCTCTATAATAGCCACATGGTCGCCATTCGTTATTTGATTTGAGTACCATATGGAGTGCGTTTGACCAACAACTTTTTGATGGTCTTATAACTCCGTTGTCAAGGAAATATTTAAATTCATTTTTTGCACAAGCTAAACGCTTAGGGTCTAATCTACGGACTTTAGCTTTTACCGGCGGACCATTAGTGTCAATATGATGAAAAACTTGACAGTTGCTAGGTATTTCTGAGATTCGGTTAACTGAATATAGTGCAGGATATTTCTCAAGTAATTTGTGGTATTCGTTTGAGGCTTTAATGATATTAAGTTCAAGTGACGGTTCTAATGATATTTTTGCGGGTACACTTAAAAATGTTTTTCTATCCACTATTGTGAAATTCTTAAGATCTGGTAAAAGATCAAAATGCTTGAGGAAATCTGAACCTATAACAGGTTTACTAACTTCTGCTATAATAAATTTCCAAACAAAAGGACGTCGAAGACCAAAGTCTAATTCAAGGATATGTGTTCCATAGCTTTTTATAATACTACCATTAGCTGCATAAAGTGAAAAACATGGTTCGTACATAGTATTATTTTTTTATTAAAGTTTTTTGAAGGTAAAACTGATATTGCAGCGCCCGTGTCTATCAAAAAGGATAATTTAGAATTTTTGTCTTTTACGAATAGGCGGCCATCGCCAATAGGAATTTCAGTGGCCGCTACTGAAACTCCATTTAGGTTTTTGCATATGAACATGCCGAAGTACATTTTGTGGATCTTTCTCCAAAACGAAGATGATACCAACACCGTTTTCACGAACGAGAATCGGATCTATTGCTTCTGAATGATGTCGAATCACGATCTTACTTTTAAGTGTTTTAATTTGTTCCGAAAGTTGTCTTAATGTGATTTCTGATATAGTCGATTGTGGTAATGACGCTACAGCTTGATTCTTTATTTCGCAAACATTTGGGGGCCTAAGGACTTCAAAAATTTTATCAGCTTGTTCTGCTAAAACCTGGATTGAGCAATCTGTGACTGACAAAATTGTCCTAATTTGATCCTGCATTTGCTCAAGGAAAATACTTTTCAAGATGGTATCACCAACATGTCCTGATGCAAGATTTTTAAGCTTTTGGAGAAATTGTGTGGGTTTGTTGTCTCCTAACGATTGGCCGTGGAGAAGTTTGCGAATTCTTGATTCATCGGATTCACCAAAGGGGTTTAATAGAGTTTGTTTTGCTGCTGCGTATTGCGTCATGTTCCCTGGAGGGTTGAAAATAATATGACTTATGTACTCACTTATTTGAGGATCCATATTGGCAACAACATATTTATGTTCCTACTACCTTATTTATGTTATTTTTCTTATTTATTATCTTTATATATCTTATATTAAATAATAATCCACATACTGGAGGGAACGTCGAGATACTTCTTAAAAATCCACCTGAGGGACTTTGGCTCATTGGGGAAAGTCGAGAGACTTCTTAAAAACTCCTAAGGTAATGCAAGGTGGCCGGCAATGTTTAAGTTAAAATTTATTTAACTTCCTTTTTGAAATACTATTTATAACACCGTTAGAATCCTATATTGGGTTTGTGCTGATGTTTGTAACATTCGTCCTATACCCACCTTAAAGTATACCAATCGGCTTAGAATCGTTTTCTGAGTCGATTATATTATATCCGTCTGGCTGGCTGTCCATGTAAACCTTGTGCGCAAGGTACAGTTCGCAATTTTCAAGATAATTGGATGAAATTTGGCACACACGCTTTTTTTTGCCAAAGGAGCCTATTGAAAATGGTTAAAATCGGTCCATTATTTCACCTAGCCCCCATACAACAGAACCCCCCAAAAAGTGCTTCTGAGCTCATAATTATGTTAACCGTCTTGTCTATACCCGAGCAAAATTACGTACATCAATACCCAACATACCCGGGTATGTCATACAATTTATATGGCTATTTCATCTTTTTATACATTTCTAGTGTATAATTCAGATAATTATTAAAACTAATTTAATAAAACGTCTGTATATATAAATGAAATAGTTTTTGATCATAAACCATTAAATTTAAGCAATTTCTTTTAGTTTTCTTATTGCTTTCCTATTAACAAAAATATCATATGCAAAAAACCTAAAGAAAAACGCCTTCATAACGTATTGTACATTATGCAGAATTTGACTTTGTAAAATTTTGACTTCAAGAAGCTATTACTCAGTGACCGGGAAAGATAATTGAACAAAACTTTTTATATATTATTTATTAAGGTGTATAAAATCGATTAGCATTAATGAAATTGTTTTTGCTGTCGTAAGTAGGGAAGTTTTTTGCAAAAAAAGATTGCTGTCATGGTCAAAAATTAAAATTTTAAAATTTAAACTAAAATATTTTTGTTTATATGAGAATAAAATTATTATAATCAGCATAATTTTACTTTCCTAAGTCATATACAATAAAAAAATGTATTTTATCAAAATCGGCCCATTTTTGTTAATGTTACAGGGTCCACAAATATATCACATTCAAGTTTATGAATAAAGACACATGACTCTGTATTTGGAACTAAATTTGTTGTTTAGTTAAATTTTTTTTCATAAGATACAAGAATATATATAATTCCAATAATAATACATAAAATTTATTGTGAAACTTAGTTTTTGTCCGATAACTGACATATAATTTGTATACATACCCAGGTATGTTGGGTATTGATATAAGAGGTAAAAATAGTAAATCGGTTTAATATATGTATATATATCTAACTAATTTTTGGAAAATGTATAGAAAACATTACTCTGAAAGCAAATTTCAAGCCGATACGATATATAGATCTCGAGATATATCACTTCAAAAATTAAAATCATTCCCGGGTATGTAGGTATTGACATAACGGTTAAATATACCTGTATATGATAAAAAGCGGCACAACTAAGTTTTATACAAGCCTTGATGACCCTGCCAAATTTCATAGACCGTAGCTCCCATACAAAGTCCCCTTCAGAAAATTACTTGAATGTCCAAAATTAACTTATAAACACAAATATCGCGATGAAATTCAGCACAATAAATTATTATGTATGTATATATAAATATATTCACAAAATTTTATCAGGCTTGGTCCATATTTGCCCCTAGCCCCCATATAAAGCCTCTTTCAGAAAATTAGTTTTTCATCCATCAATTGCTTAAATGTATCGGAACAAGGCAATAGAAGACAAATGCTTTATTATGAAAAATAATTCACATTTAATATTCATAACTGGTGTAGGGTATCATATGGTCGGTCACGCCCGACTATACTTCCTTACTTGTTTTTATATAAAATCTTGTTGGAGCTGAACAGCAAGTCTTCCACAGACATAGTTAGCTATCCAGCATTTGACATCGTTGGGGAGCATTGAAGTAGTGATGTCGTTTATCAGCATCGAGTGATCGACCGTGTGGAAGGCCTTGGATAAATATGGTGCGCTGACACGGTCGTTGCTGATTGAGGCCATTGGCGATCTGTGACGTTATCTGTGATAAAGCTGTTGTGGTGCTATGCGCTTCCCTGATTGGCTAGCGGGAAATGCACATTCAGGGTTGGCAGTAGTAGTGATTCTAAACAGGTGCATCCTGGTAGTTGACAATGGCGTAAAAAAATGTATAAGTTGGACTTTTTACCTTTAATATTTAAATGTTTTTGTAGATAGGGCCTTTTGTTTTTTGTTAATAAAATCGCAAATTTGGTTCGAGGAGTCCAATTTGTTTGTGAACATTTGTTTTGATGCAATATATTAGAATCAACAATAAAATCGATTTTGAATTTTTGGTTAGTTATGTATTATGTATCAATAACTTTATTTGCAAGATTATTGTTTTTTTAATATATCCTCTCTTTTATAATTCAAAATATTTTTTCGATTTTTATTCCACAGGTGGAAAAGTCTCAAATTGGAGATCCGAGCAATACCTTTAAATCCTTAAATGAAACTATACCGCCGGCTGGTTTATTGACATACGACAGAAAAATGTATTCCGTAACTGACATAGATACTCACCCCTATTCTGCATTTCGATTACGTTTACGCATTCAGTTACGCAGCGATCGAAAAAAGGTATTCCAACAAAAAACTGAATCGTAAGAAAAAGAAGAAGCAATACCATATCGTTTCAATGCTTTACAAATGTGTGTATTCTGCGTTACGATCGTACCTACGTTTTTCTAAGTTGTTGTTTATGTGGCGGAGAGTCGAATCGAAATGCAGAATACCAAAGATATCAAACGGAGAATATTTCGATTCGAATTGAAATGCAGAATAGAGGCCACTAGCATTCACAATTTCGAAAGACGCGATCTGGATCATCTAAATACAAACAAATTTGATAAATAAAAATAAAACAAATTACTTGTATGTATATGTTTTGAACTATTTCAAATAGTTGTGTTTTTATTTATAATTATAAAATGAAGTAGAGACAATTCTACAAAAGGGCCTCTATTATTTTCCAAAAGATTTGTAATTAAAGGTAAAACAGAAGTTTCGTTTTTTATCCAATATACATATATATCAATAAAAGTATTGTATAGTAAGTAAAACTTCATTAAAAATAAACAATTTATTGTTTCCTTGCTTAAAACTTAAGTTGCTATAATCAAAACCATGTATATTGTGAAATTAATATATCAATCCTTCTTGTGTCCATCCTCTTTATTCAAATTATAAGGACACAATATTGGAGATTTGTTGCGCCGTCATACGTAGATTCTTTGGATGCTGGCAAATGCTGTTTTTATAAGTATACATTCATGTTTCGATTAGGCACTCATTCTATCTTATTCCAATATAAATTGAACTTAATTCAATTTTGATTACAACTAATTTCATTTTTATTTGAAAAAAAAAAATATATGTATTATTATATAATAAACAATAACCATTAAAATTAACAATTGTTGTTTCCTCTTAATCATCATTTAGACCTCCATATATTTACGTATATGTTAGTATGTTAGTATGAGTAAAAAAGAAAGAAATAAAATGTTTAATTAAATGAGGGAATTTTGTTACTTGTTTTGTAGTAGTAATAATGAAGACGTGGCAATGAGGAGGACGATAGTGTGCAATTAAAATGCTATATTTATATCATCTAATGTTTACAAGCTGACTTGTATTTATTTATTTGCCAGCAAGAAGAAATTTTTAAGTTGTTGAATGTTTAACTCAAAGTAGGAAATTGACGTTCATCGTCAACTTTTAGAGCATTTGGAGTAGAGCGCTTCTGTTGTCTTTCCCCAAAGTTACGCTGTTGTCTAGGCTGTCTGTCGCCATCGGGGCGTGGTCCTTTATTATCACCACCAGGGCGAGGACCGCGACCACGGCCTCTGCCAAAGCCTCCACCACCACGACGACCATCGTTGAAATTGAATTGAATGTCGACTATACGTTGCAAGCGTCCAACACGTTGAGGATACATAGACGGATCATACTCATATTCTTCTTCGCTGTCACCGTCCTTCTTTTTGTTTAGCACAACCATTTTCTTCCACTGGGAGGTATCCTCACCTTCATTTGGCTTACGAATATTATATTGGGGTTTCGAGCGTTCACCTCGTAATGCCTTCCATTCATCGAGTGTTAGTTCTTTTACTTCTTCTTCTTCTGGTACAGGAGGTTGTTCTGGAGTTTGTTCATTAGACGATTCTTCCTTGTCTGTCAAAGTAACATCAGCATCAGTCGTTGATTTATTAATATCATCGATTTCTTGTTTAACAGATCCCCAGTTATGAGCACCAGCACCATCACGTTTGTCAATAGCTTTAACACCTTAAAAAATAAGAACATCATACTATTATTATAAAAAAATGCAAATTTTTTTAATTAGTACTTGATATAATGAGCTTGTATGTATATATGTAAATGAAGTGATGTCATTGTCATGTAATTTAATGGCTGTGCAGGGTTTGTATTATATATTTTTAACGAAACCCATTGGGTCAACCAAATAAAGTTTATAAAATATTAACACAAAATTCGGGTTTTTGAATTGAGTTCATGAAGTCAGTTTAGACTATATACAGATAGTGTAAACGTAAAAATATAAATCATACGATATTAAAATCAGAGTATGAAAACAAACGAACATTTTTCGCAAACGTTTCCATAATGTACAAAACTTTTCAAAATTTTTAAATCGTTCTGTACAATTGGTTTCTCTTTCATCTACTTCCTTTTGTATGCCTTTACAATCGTATATTTGAGAACAAAAGAAAAGTTGAAATGTATTTTATAAAAGAATCATTTAATGTGAGTTTGATTTCATTTATTTTTTATGGTTTATATTTTGTTTTTGTTTTAATTACTACTTTATTCCACATCGGCATGAAAAAAAAACTAAAAACTTTATAAGCATTGTTACAGTTCACATGACGTTCACATGATGCAATTATTCATCATTCAATTATTCATAATTTCTTAAATACATTTGCATATATTTTGACATTTTTATGTTGATATGATGATTCTTTGTCCGTCCCTCAATGTTAACCTTTTAAATACAATTTCAGGCCACATTTGGCAGTACACAAAGATGAATTTAGAAATTTAACTTGACACTAGTAATTGAGCTACAAGTATTATTAACGATAGTTTATTTCCATAAATCAATAAATATCTTTTATATGTTATTAAATTAAAATTCGATGTACATAGGTGTTCATTTGTAAAAAAAATCAATTATCATATCAAATTCTCCACATTGCGCTCCTTGTTATTAGACCACACAAAGGATATTTACTCGTATATCCGATTCTGAATATGACATGAAACAATAAATATATATGTCATTATAAAGGCCTCAGCTTCTGCTTTCTAAATTCGTGAAGAAACTTAAAATCGATTCAGATTCAACTATGTTACTGACTTATAAGTGCTTAAAGGTATGAAATCCGGGTTTTTACCCGTAACTCAAGATTTTGGAGGTGTTTGGCAAATTTCAAAAACATATTCTTGTTCTACTCGGATCCACCTTTCAGAAAAATAGTATCACTTCCCAGGTATTTAAATTTTCGTTTATTTTGTCTCACTGTGTTATCTATGGTTGAATTCTTAATTTTAAAAAATATCCTTTTATATTAGATAGATATTGAGTCCTTCGAGTTTCTATCATTTGGAAATACATACATACATACATAATTAGTTTTAAAGTCAAATATTTTTCCAAAATTTAAATTTTGGAAAAATGGAATTTTAATTAGATTAATATTCATATATTGTCAATTAAGATACAAATTAGAAATTCCATTTCTAAATGAGCTGCATTGCTAATTTGCAAAACATACTTCTAAAAAGTGGCTTTTAAAACTAGATTTCTTTAATTTTGGTAATATTGAAGATAATTCCTCTCTATAATATTATTAGCCGTTTTTCTATTACTTTTAGGACATTCTTCTAATTTCAAATTTGAATAAAAATTTTAAATTTAAAGTTACTTTGAGAGTATCAAATAAGACTCGGGAGAATCACGGTACTTTTGAACAGAGTTTAAATATTAGTAATTGCCCATATTTTAAAATATTTATGCATATTTAAAATATGGTACTGTTCAAAATATAAAATTTTTTCATAAGCAATATATTTCGCAGCAGCATATTTTATATTGCTTGCCTATAATATCAAAATATTTTCCTACACAAATTATTCGTAGTAAAAAATATTCAAGCCATGCAGGCAAAAATATATTCAAATATACATAACCTTATTTTTAAAATTATATTTATAAACTATATAAACTACGTTTATATACATTTTTATTTATTAAATTTATTATTATACATACATTTTTTCCTTTTAAATGAATTCTGGAAATAACTTAGGTTATATCACAAGTAACAATGATTATATTTTAAGAAATTTTTTTAATAATGGACAATATTTAAATATTGGTCACATCAATGTTCAAAGTATCAAACCAACAGCACGCTCCTCTAAATTTGAAGAGTTCTTGAATATATTAGATGGCAACTTTCTCGACATTGTGGGTGTTACTGAAACGTGGCTGAAATCATGTGTTAGCAGCAGAGCTGTTCAAGTGCCAGGATACAAGTTATTTAGAGTTGATAGAATAGATGATATTAGGGCTGGAGGAGTAGCAATTTATGTTAGTGACAAACTGAGAGCTAAAGTAGTACTTGAATTTTCCAAACTGTGTTGAATGTTTATTTTTGGAAGTAATGGGTGAAGACTTGAAAATTTTATTAGGTATTGTATATTTGCCAAAGGGTAATATAGCTGGTATCAGACAGTTAGATAATATTTTGGGTGATATTACTTGCAAATATGAACATGTTGCCATAATGGGCGATTTTAATTATAATCTTTTTCATCCTGAGAAATCGACGGTAATGAGGGAACTATGTAACCGGAATAATATAAAATATATTCACAATATTTTGCCTACACATTACAATTTGAGGGACAACACTGTTTCATTAATTGATTATTTTATTATGAGTGATAAATTATCCCTAAGTTTTTCTGGTCAATTTCAATCGCTATGTTTATCATCACACGCATTTATTTGCATGAGTTTAGAATTTCCATAGAAAATTAATGCTAATAACGAGGAATATAAGGACTACAATGGTATTAATTATAACCTACTTGAACATATGATTCTTTACTCTGATTTTAGTCCTATATATAGAACTTCGGATGTTAATATTCAAATTTATCATTTAAATTCTATTTTACTCAATATTTTCGCTTGTGTCCCTGTGCGCCAGTGATGCCAAGTGTAGGGATTTTTCCCTTTTTGTAGGGATTTTTTTCAAAAATTTCACGTGTAGGGAAAAAGGGAAAGATTTCTTACTATTGTCAAATTGTAGGGATTTTTCAATTTCATAGTTTTTAACAACTAAAAATATACTCTTTCATGTATTAAACTTTTAAATTAAAAATGAAATCAGTTTTAAGTGTATCGTTAGTAAAAATTCCGCTTGTAATTTCTACAATATATGTACCTACATATCGCTACAAGACTGGCATAATCCAAAATTCGGCTTTCTTGAACTAAGGTCTTCAAAACATGCGACATACTAAAATCTTTCATATAGATTTATGAAATTTCAAATATGTCTATTATTTTCGATGTGAAATCGATTTTTTGTAAACGTAAAAACTAAAACCCACGTTTTTGTGAATATTAGACAACTAAAAATGTAATTTCAATTTAGATGAGAAACATATTAACCTCAACTATCTGAATCTGGATTTTTAAAACCCCTTGATTTGTTTAAAAGTTATTAAAAAAATAGTTAAATGTCATTAAATATTCATATCCATTTTTCTTGAAACGACTTTTTGGATTATGCCAATCCTGTAGGGCGATATATTCTGACTCCTTATAGATAGAGTAGTCGGGGGCTTAATGCAGTAACTCAGGATTGAAAAAATGAATTTAATGTTCTGAAAATTTATAAAAGTAAACCGCAAAAAGTAAACCTTATTTAAAATAATTATTTTATGAACATTTTTTTGTTGGAGGCACATAAAATAAATTTTTATCACGATTCGATATACTGCCATAAATCTTTCAATTGTTTTTTTTTTTTATCTTAACTGAAGAGTCAGGGTTGGAAGATTTGTATGATGTAAAATTGAAAGAAAAAAAATTTAAAATTTAAATTCTAGAAATTTCATTCCTAAAAATTAAAAAAAAAATACATACATATATGTATATTATAAAACGGAGCTAATATTTTAGTTTTTGATGTTATTTTTGTATTTTTTTAAGATAAACTTTGAAAAAAATGGAAAAAAGTAGTGTAGGGAAAAATGTAGGGAAAATAAAAAGTGGGTGTAGGGAAAGTGCGCACAGCATCATTGCTGTGCGCACTAAAAAACATAGTGTAGTTAACAATATTTCCAATATACGCAATAATGAGCAGGTTAGAGATGCTCGTTATTTACGCGATCTTGCTTATAGATCCTACTGCGAAAATAAAAGTGTATCGAACTGGATTATATATTGTAAATTTAGAAATTGTGTTAAAAAAGTTCTTAGGAAGTTAAAATCAAAAAATTGTGAGGTATTTTTCAGAGATAACACAACATGGAAGGTACTGAACAATATTGGGTGTAGTATGAATAATGAACAATATATTTGTGTCTAATCAGTGTGACGATTTATGTCCATTAGTTCCTATGAATGATTCAGGCATATTTTCCATAATGAGATTTAATGAGACTGATCTCCAAGAAGCGTTTTTTAAGACTAAGTAAAATTCTGTAGGAGTCGATGAATTACCCATAAAATTTTTAAAAATAATATATCCTTCTATTAAGAAGCATATCTTACATATTTTCAATACAATTATAATGACATCAACATTTCCTTTATTATGGAAAACCGCTAGAGTTGTGCCCATTAGATAGATTAGCTGATGCTTTTCGACCAATTAGTATTCTTTCCTGCCTTTCTAAGGTATTTGAGCGGCTTGTTGCCAAACAAATAAATTGTTATCTAACCGAGAATAAATTACTTAGTGTTTGCCACTCTGGCTATCGTAAAGGTTTTAGCACCACAGCTCTTTTTCTATCTTTAACAGACAGAATAAGATATAATCTCAATAACCAAGCAGTTAGTGTTCTTCTTGCCTTGGATTTATCCAAGGCATTTGATACTATAAATCATAACAATTTAATTAACAAATTAAACTCAAAATTTTATTTTAGAAGGAATATGTGTAGTTTAATACAATCATATCTTAATGGTAGAAGCCAATTTGTTTCCTGCGACAACAGATATTCTAGTATTTTGGCTTGCA